ACAATCTCGTAAATCCTAAATGCTGCTGTGTGCTCATTTCATAACATGTTTCTAGAACGCGCGAGTTCTTGAAGCTTGCTTCCATCGGATTGAGAAAAGAAAAGGCTGTGGAGTTTGATAATAATGCATCCGGTTTCGTATAGGCACTTAGAAGCTAACATATTTGTGAGACAGCGAACTCTTCTATTTTAATATTTATCCTATTACGTCCTTCTGGCGTTGTGTTCGGTGAAGTGTTTTTCATATTTCGTATCTTGTTTAATGAAAACTTCTTTAAGGGTCTAATTTGAGTTACCGAAGGCTAGTTCAAATAAAGAAAGTTGTAATTTCTCCCCACTGTTCCTTCAATTGCTTACACGCCGAGGTGGCGGGATAGTTAGCGAGTTCTACTTGTAAGTGGGTTTGTAAGGAGGTCGCGGATTTTACAGCTACTGCGTCGGACCCAATTAGATGAAGTCCGAATGCGTAAACGTCGGTGAGGTAACCTTTGAGTACACATAAAGAAACCATTCCTGGTAGAAATCCCTGAGCCTTACACTACGATGTATCCCGTTTCGTATGTGCTGATTTCAGATGTTTTATTTGTAATTTATTTTGATGTTGCAATTTGTCATTTGTCAAACCGGTTCGCGAATCTGTTCAGCGCCCCGAACCGGTTCGCGGATCGAATTAATCGAACCGGAACTGAACCGGAACAAAATTAATTTACCTGAACCTGAACCGTAACCGAACCCGTATTTTTTTCGGTTCGACACACTGATATATATATATATATATTTATATTAGTATGACTCGTGCATCATATTTCAGTTCAAGAAAAAAAAAATTTTTGTGGTATGTTGGCTTAACGACTTAGATAATGTTGTTATGTTTCAATACTGATATGTCCCTGAATATGTGAATACAGTGCAACATACTTATAACAATAATGAGAAGACCCAAAATTTTAATGTTAACCGATTATCACTTTACCTGAACTAGAGACTGAGCGTTTCTAATCTGGAAACTGATTGTTATCAGCAATACATTGTTATATGTGTTATCATTATAAGTGGATTGCACTGTAGTACTAGTTGAGCTCACTCTAGAAATTCATTGATGATAATGGCTGTAAACCGGAATGCAAAAGTTCACTGGTAACAGTCTTTGTTGGTACGACCAGTACTTGGTGTAAGTGCTCAAACTTCCGAGATTGCGACAGTCGTTGCAAAGAGTGAAGTGCTCTGCGAAGACGACTTACCTGCGTTTGGCCATGGCTTTCACATATGAACTTGGCCGACATGGTTTGCAGGTACAAAACCTCCACCTCCACCCCGAGACGAACCTGCTCGAAAGCGGACTTGTCACCAGCACGCTCAAACTGAAGCGCAACTGCGCAAGAGAGTTGTTCAAAGAGGTCATCAGGGATTTGTACGACGAGGGACCACTGCTGGGCAGCTCTCGCAATTTATAGCGCAGTTTTTAAGTGGGCAACTTTGTGAAGGAGCTTTTATCACCTCAAGAACAAGCTATTTTTACCCACCTTTACGCGACACTTCTATTCCAACGTATTTTTACGAAATATGGGGCAAACACTGTTGTCGTTTGCGCCGTTGCGACATATTTTTACGAAATATGGGGTAAACACTGTTGTTCGCGTCGTTGCGGCACGTCAGTGCTGCCATGTCTGCTGAATTTGACTGCATCTGCAGTTCTTTTGAAAAACATTTTTAAAAGAGATTAAGACTTTTCCTTTTCCTAACGTAATGTGAAAGTGGTGCTATGCATGCAATATACTCACTTTATTATGCCCAAATATTTTCTTTTTGATACGTTGAGCCTCGCATGTTGATTTTTTACGACGTCGTGGCATGCGCGAAACTTTGCACACAGGGTCTGCTTAGTTTCGGGCGATTGCAATGTCTGGCAGCGAAACCGGTTTGGCGTTCTGTGATTTGTACAAATGAAAGGGATGAAGTGCGTCGTGGCAATAAATATATTTTGTCATAGGGTACAGTCTTGGTTGTGGCTGAGCTACAGATTATTATTGGGCGGTCAAACTTGTTGAATGGAGCAAATCACCCGGAGGCGTTTTGGGGTGTCGTGCTTCTTGATGGACAAAGCTGGTGCGAGTAGTAATGCTCAGCAAAGAATTGGTTGCAGACACGCTCAGTGCCAAGCATTTGTGCTGTTCAAAGAGCATCTCAAGATTGCTCCAACCTCCGAACATTGGGATATAAAGCACACTTTGGCCATTGAGATGGTCAATACAATTGTTTTGATAGCCTGTTGTAATTTTACCGAACAAATAAAAAAAATAAGAAACGTAACCATGTTTGTCTTAGTTGTTAGCCCTTTTTCGTGAAGTGTGACCTACAATACATGTACAGAGTGGTTTTTTTTTTTTTGTTTTGTTTTAAGCTGTACAGATTTGTTTAAAAAAAAGCCATGAAAGTTACACTTGTGCGGTTTGTGCAGGTGAGTTATACAGCCAGGGGGACATTATGCATTATGTAAGTGGCTAATCTGCGATAAGTCGGCCAATTAATTAAAGTTCATCAACTTTTTAAGTTGTGAAAATAGAGATATGGTTCCAATTAGAAACTTACTAAGCATTATCGAAAACCACTAAATCAACTCTTTCTAGAATGACAAAAGCACCAACACAGTTCAAACATGATGTTGGTGCTTTTGTGCGTTTTAGTGTGACAAGGTATTCAGAAGCATCAAGGTTTATTGATTGTGTTAACGCTCTGAATGAGCAGTTATTACCACACTAGTAGTTTCAATTAACACCTTCCAACTCTAAGATGAAACCAGAAAAACAGACTGACAGCTTGTTTGCGATGTGCACATTCGAATGTTGTATACTAATTGTTGAATTTTTTTGGAGCGTTTCTGGCTGGAAGGTTGTGTAGCTTGGATCGTAGTGTAGCTTGGGGGTTTTCTGATCGGTACACCCCAGGGGTACTTCAAAGGGGCGTAGGAAATGCTCAGTTTATCTCGTTTTTTCGGCTAGTTTAGAAGGTGCGAACTTCTGCATACCTCTGTGAAGCGGCCCCGGTGGTTGCTCAAGTGCCGACAATCAAGCTCAATCGCTGAACTTAACTCATAAAAGAAGGCACGTCCATCTCCATGAGGAATTTGATTAACCTGAAGCATTCTATCCTAGAGAGGAATACCATAAAGCTTAAGCTACAATTTCCTCTTTTTTTAGGGGAATTCGATAAAGTGGTGTCTGAACTTTCTAGTTTGGTAGATACTCCTGCGTTAGAAACCACTGCAAAAAGTCAAAAGAACACCTCCATTATGCATGCCACACCAAAGTCCTCGTGCACTTTGAGTAAGTAGCAAAGAGGACACTTAGAACCGCTCACGTGTAGGAATGCTTTTGCATTCCTACAAGCAGTGCACCACGTCTTCCCATCACACATGGCGGTGACCTCACGCTCCCCCACTGCACAGGCGCGGCGAACCCTGCTGGCTTCACGACAGCTTCCACGACGAAGCAGTGCGTTGCTGTGTTGGGAATAGGAATTTAGGTGCCATTTTTCTCCTACGAACTGTTGCAGACGACGACGACGGCTTCGTCCCGTGGGACAGTTAATACTTTTGCATTAAAATCATGTTGTGGTGCCTGTTTCGAGAACTCCAAGGGTATTGCTGAGAAGTGCTTGCTGAAAAAACAAAACATCCAAAAACTGCACAGAACACCAGACGCCATCAATCCATCGATGCTGCCTGTGGATAAGAATTTAGTTTCGGAGTCCTCGTATATCAGGCAGAGTTCGATGGTGAAATAGAATGGGCTTGCGCTATTACCGCTTGGGAAATGGTGCATCATTCTTGCAATACCTCAACTTTGTACTTGCCAAGCCATCGGCCAACATATCTTGCACTGATGTCACAATACATACTTTTGACCACCATAAAAAAGGGAGGAAGCTGCTTTTGTAGGAAATTTGAGTGACAGGTTAATCCTCTATAATTTTCTGGGGGGAGGATAATGATGTCTGGGCAAATCTGGGAGAGAAAAGGAAAGAGGGGAGCTCCTCCCTCCCCTCTTCTCCGATGGCCATCAGAGTGCTCTTTGGACGATGTCGTATGCAAGCCATGTATTGCGATGCTAAGGCCCATTAGAACATGTTTTGTGCTCGGTGACCATCTGAACCAGGCACGAGCGGTTCGTGATAAAATCCGGGAATTTTCTCTTCTCACCAATGCATCTTTTCCTCTGAAAATGCAAACAGGGTTGCCAGATCCGAGAAAAAAACAAGCCAAAAAAATTGCCAAAAGTAGCCAACTGGGTTATTTTTCTTTTTAGTAGCCATACAGTAGTCAACACTTGCAAATGGCACTTCATTTTTTTCGGTATGTCTAAAAAAACGCAATCATTTTTTTTGTTGCAGTAACAATACGAAAACAAGAAAAAGTGTGTTACAGCAAGTTCTACATAAATTATATGAATAAAAATTAAGTTCATGCAGGCACTTTATGGGCCAGTGGTGAGCAGAGCTACCTTCGGAGCTATCTTTGTATCTTGTACAAGTCAAATAGCAGGCTTCATTACGGTACTTTGTTTCCGCTTTTCTGCACGCACGCGGCATGAACCGCGATCCATGTGCGGCTCTTTGCCAACTGCTGCTGCTTAGATTCTTCAAAACACTCAGAACGTTAATGTGAAAGCGTCGTTGCATCACAGGCTCAAACGAAGAGAAAGTACCAGCATTAGCAAGTAGCCAATTTCAACTTTAAGCATCCGAGGACATCGAAAAGTAGCCAACTTGGTGCAAAGTAGCAAAACCTGGCAACCCTCAATGCAAGACACCATCTCCGCTCAAGTGTTCGCATTTGCCTTCAAACCTTGTCACATGCCGCTGAGCACCCACCCTTATGAAACCACCGCTGAAGCCCACCAATTTTAGTCCATTTTGTAGACCAGCTTTCACTCAATCACCACACGTGATAAGGTTCCTGGAGCCTCGATGACCACACGTGGTAGACGAGTCACGACACAACCATGAGACCATTTCAGCCGTTTTATTACTCTACTTCAGGGGGATGAACCGAGATGAGTGTGTGGCACCGATACCCGGCCTTCCGTGCTTCACAGGCTTGTAGGTGATGCTGAACTCGCCCAGGTAGTGGCCGATCATCTCTGGCTGCAACAACCAACAAGAATGCACGTCTTAGCTTTCCACTCTCAGAGAACGCTCGTTCTCTCAAACTCCTTCCTTACAAGTAGTCAGAGTTTCAAAAAGAAGTCTTCACATTAGTTTCAGAAGACCATCGTGAGAATATAAACTTTGTCTCATCATACAAACGACTGCTCCGCGGCACAAACTGTTTCTCGAGTATGCGATTACAAGATGCTGAAACACGAAGCCGCTCTATAGTGGCGGAACACCGATCGCCGAGACGTCACTTGCCTGCACACGTCGGCAGTTAATTACGGCATCAGGAACGCATTTGTGGTATTCCAGTGGATAGCCATTCGCCCTTGTTGATGTTGCCTACTAGCCACGTGTTCGTCTCGTGGTTTACGAGGTGGCCGTACCTTGATTTCGACCTGGTTGAAGGTCTTGCCGTTGTAGACCCCCACAATGGAGCCGACCATTTCGGGGACCACCAGCATGTCGCGGAGGTGCGTCTTCACCACCTCCGGCTTCTCCAGGGGTCCGCACTCCTTCTTGGCACGCCGGAGCTTCTTGATGAGCGCCAGCGGCTTGCGCTTGAGACCGCGGGCGTAGCGCCGGCGGGCCCGGCAGTGCATCAGCTCCATCAGCTGTGTGCTGCGATTGGACGTCGGGATTAATTATGAACGCTTTTAATACAATGGAATTTCAAAAAGCAGCCTTTACGACTGGCCCTAAAGCATTCTGTGCAGTGCCTACTCGCGGTACAAAGGATATTTACGGCATCATGCTCAATCTGTGACGTGTCCCTAATATATTTGTCGTACTAAAAAATAATAGTGCTTGTTGCAATAACTGAGATTCACAAAACTAATCCCTGGAGAAGGGGAACAAAGGACAAACATGAATCTCTAAACACAGCTAGGTGACTGGTGCGCGACCAAAAAAATCTGCCTGGTCCGGGTATTGAACCTGGGACCTCTCCATTTCCCGTGGAGCGCTCTACCAACTGAGCTAACCAGGGGTTAGACACCAGTAGAGCAAACAGGTTTTATCAGCTGCCACCAGTCGAACACCAACGAGGGTGAAAGGCTTGTATTTTAAGGTTGATTATAATGCAATTAAATGCAAAGGTGCAAGTGAACTGGACAAGAATGACGAAAATAATCCCTTGAGATAAGGAACAAGAGTGACAAAGGACAAACATAAATAGGTGACTGGTGCGTGACCAAAGAAACCCGCCTGGTCCGGGTATCGAACCCGGGACCTCTCCGTTTCCAGTGAGATTCGTTCTGCAAGCCTCAGGCGTTATAAAGTCTGCAATTCAAGCAAGAGTTATGTGGTTGCTAAAGTTTAAAACAGATTATAATTGATTTTTACTTTTACACAATTAAACATATTAGTAAAAAAATTATCTCCAAGGCACTAGTTTATGCCAAGTTAACATGCACGAGTTTATGCCAAGTTAACATGTGGGATGTTTTCAGCGTGTCCCCGCGCATGTTGGACATACAAACACGGCAGTTTGGACTGAAGTCCGCCGTGTTATAGACAGAAATCGGGGCAGCTTTCATTCAATCAAAATTTCGGCGCTCGGTCGTTTGGGGATACGCCTGCTGGAGCCGATGTTTGCGTCGTTAGCAAGTCACACAAGGCTTTACACAGAAGCGTGTGCCTTTCACACATGTTTGTATGTCGACACCCCTGTCGAAATGCCTCTTTAGGCGGACACACGGTATTTTCGTCTTACCTGGACATGTCAAGCAGTTGATCCAGGTCGACACCGCGGTAGGTGTACTTGCGGAAAGTACGCTTCTTCTTGGCCAACTCTTGCTGATTTTCCTGTTAGCGGACAGAAAAACGATGATGTGTAAGTGCTCTTCGAGCGAGAGAACCGTTCATTGTGGATACGTCCACTTCCGTGGGGTTGAGCATTGGTTGAGCACGGTGTTTAGATGCCGCTAGCTAACGCTCTACCACTGTGCCATTATAAAGAGAAATAAAGACAGATCTGCGAGATAAGAACATTAAATATGAATCGATGATGAATACATGGGACAAAATGTTGTTGTTTCAACATTTTAGTTCCCTTAATTTGGTTTAAAAACATGCGATTAGAGACGATTGAGCACTTACGTCCTCCATATCGACGGACTGTTGGAAAGGAAAGAAAGGCCTAGAGCTACCGGAACCGGAAAATGGTTGGTGGCGATGGCAGCGCTACCTAACTGCGTGGCACGCTTGCGAACTTTTTCGGGGGAACTGTTTCACTTTCGGTTTCGAGTGTCTACTCGATGACTATTTTAAATTTTACTCAACATCGGTTTTATTAAATGGCGCTTCGCTCATCGGTATTGTTTGTTTCACTGTTTCATTTTCCAAATTCTTTTACCGTTTTTTTTATTTATTGCATAGTAATTTAACTACTAACGGGAGAAAAAAAATAATAAAAAAGAAGAAATCTGGAAAGTGCAATCCAAGCATAAAAAAACAGTAAACAAAAAGTAACCCCCTCACCCTTTTTCTTAATTTGGGTGTTTGCAGGGTTTGCAGGGCACCTCTTATGGGTCTTCGGCCTCTCTGCTGTACCCCGCCTCTTCGGAACCGTAAATGATATGAAATAAAATCATCCTCATGCATTCCTAAATTGTTATACGGAACCACGTATTCTTACTGGGCACTAGCAACAAATACCATCAAAGTCATGAAAATTATGAGTTCAATGAAAATCACCAGTAGCGAGAATTCGTACATTCACCTTTTTGCATTCAAGTTTTTTTTTTTTTTTTTTTTTTTTTTTACTTTTTTGTTTACAATATGTTTTTTAGTGGTTGGGTTTTGTTTCCGAAGGAGATAGTCTAAACTTTAAAAAAGGGGTCAATGCACATGTTTGTTTCTTATTTATTTAGTGGGAGCACGCACACTGCCTGCACGCTGTGCAGGCAGTGTTGTCACCGTTCTTCCATTCTGTTTTATTTTGGCGCATCCGCTTCCACAACATTTTAGCAGCTTCAGATTCCTGACCAGAGTTACTTGACAGAGCTGCTCCGTCGGATGATGAGCTCTCATCCTCTGAATTTCCTTCCTAACAGCGTTAAAAGTCTGAATCGGGAGAGCCAATGCTCCCACTGGCACTATCGTCAGAGTGGCCGGTATGCGAAGTGAGCACCACGTGCGCGGAGTGTCTAATTTGAAAACTGTATACTGCATGACCCAGAAAAGGCGAAACACGGTATGAATATGATGTTTATTGTTCACCAAAGACATTACAAACAGCAACACACCCTGCGGTGGGCTCAGTTTTGGTTTGAGCTAGGCACTTTCAAATGTGCAATCACCGCCGCACATGTGTGCCACCTGTACAAAGCAACTAAACACTGAAAGCACAAGTAAGCAAATAAATCCCACCACCCTCGCCCACAAGCTCCATTTAAACATAGTCATCACTGTGGAATACCGATGCATCTTCATTAGACGCGGTGCCGCAGGCCTTTATGTTATGGCCGACTTGCTTTTCTGCGGCACCGCGGCTCTCCTGAGCCAGAATAAAATATCAATATCAAAAGAGCTCATGCTTAGGATTCATCACGTAAAATGTGATAATAGAGCATTTTGGAAAAAAAAAGTTGAACCCCGAACCCCCCCCCCTTGCCAATACTACGGATGCCTAGGTGCCCGAAATATAGAGATATTAGCTCGAAGCATATAAATACACGATGGCTTAGAAGGCTTTCAAGAAACTTTCAGATCGTCCATCACTACTGGTGTATCAATTAATTGTTTTAGGGGGTAAAGATTCAACACCATAAGCGCCCCCCTCCCCTTCCCCGCGCACACAGACACCGACTACGCCATGTCGCCTGCCTGTGGCGCCTGGCCATGCGGCATAAAGCAAAACAAAACAGCTTTCTAACTAACTAACTAACTAACTAAGTTTCTAACTGAAAAACGAAGAGGAAGCAATTTGGTAAATGTCGTGGTATTTTATCCTGGCACTGTGCAGTTGGGAAAGACCTGCTGGCATGCGCGAAATCATTTATTTGCAACATGACCCACTTTCACAGTAAGACTTGTGTCAAAAGAAGGAAAAAAAAAAACAAACATAACTAAATAACACTTCATTGCTGATCTTACTGAAAGTGTTTTCTCCGTTCACGCCCCGTATTTTCACTTTTTTCGCTTGACCATCAGCTCAGCGACCTTGGGATCGAGACAGGGAAAATCGGGAGGAATCTTCGTTGCATACTCCGAGTGGGAGCAGTCCAGGAGAAAACTACGGGAGTAATGCTTACACCTCGAGTAGCCACGTGATCTTGATTCCTCGGGTTGTTCTGGTTCAGGATCGGCACAAACGACAGCCCCCAACGCACCTTCTGACGATGGGTTGGTCTCCAAAGCAGGATTATTAGCCTGCAAATGAAGACCGTCGGACCCTTGAGGAAGCTTTGGCAAATTAGTGGGTGCTTTCCTCAGATCATCCTGGTGGGATGTGTCGTCATCTTGGAATTTGGTTTCGTTGCCTTCCAGACGACGCTTTTCGTACAATGTCACTCCTTCGCACGAAGACGGGCTTACGTTGGCGTCCGAAGCAATTTGAGCGTTGCAGAGGACGTCTGCTTCTGGGGATGGTTGAGGAGTCTGTTCTGGCGCGTGCGCCAGCATCTCAGGTGTCACTTCTACCGAAAAGTCAAAGCGTCCACTAAAGTACTTTTCAAGAACCACATGAGCTGTCCTTACTAGGACCGCTTTGTTGCCACTTATCCTGATCGTATCCTTCCCGATGGTCACAGTGTTTGAGAACAGGAACCCTTCCTCCTTTTCATTTGTTTTCTGACATGCTCGCCTTATGCTTCTGATGGCAACGTTCCTTCGGGACGAAGAATCATCGTAATATTTTGGTCCAGAAACGTCGTTGTCGTAAGGCCCAAAGTCACTCATTTCCCCGTTGGCGTGAGAAAGAGTGATATCGTTTTCCGGAAGGTACCTATCACCTCTTATTCCAAGTTGTCCAGATGCCTCAGGTATTCTGTGCCCTTGGTTTACACGTGGGAAGCTGCGTGCTGGCAGTCCCGGTGTACGGGATTGGTTATGTGCCCACACGTTGCATGAGGAGCCGTTGTGGTGACCTTGAGAAAGTTCTTCCAGCTCCGCCATCTTGCACTTGTAAAACTCAGTGAACTCTTCGTCGCACGTCCAGTTCATGGCACGTAGTTCGATGACCTCGAGAATTCTTAAACGACCGGTGACTTCGAGGCTAGAATCTCTGCAGGCGTTGCGTAGGGTGACGAAATAACGATCCAGGTCTTCCTTATGCTCAGACTCAATCGCTGCACCCTTAGATTTAAGCAAGTCGCAGACGCGAATCAGGTCAGCTGACGTGGTCTTGTCGAAAGGACCTATACAAAAAGATCGAACGAGCTGTTCCAAATCATTGAGTACCTTTATGTTCATGGTGCTTGCGCATGGGAGTTGCGAAGTCCTGCTGGATGCTGGCAATTTCCCGACTGACGTGAAAACGTTTTCTTCGGAACTCGAGCGAGGTCGTCTTACTACGGCGGTATGCGTTTTCCGCTGGCGAACTTCGCATTTATAACGGGCTGCACCCTTTGCAGGCTTGCTGGTTTACATAAATGGTGCGTGTTTAATTCTGGATCTCTGAAGATAGCCAAGCTGTAGTAGTTCAGAATAGATGGTGTGGCGCGCCACGGACTCGGCATGCCGCGCGTGCAAACTTGCGCTTTTACTTTCTTTCAGAAATGAACACAAGCTACGTAGCTGGACGTGGCTGCGTGTTAGTGCGCTGCTTACTGCCTCTCTTGAGTCAGTGCAGCGCCGTGCCGTTTATCATACCATGAGGCTCCATCTCGGACCCTCAACTCCACCCTATTGAGAGCTGTGCACAAGCGAGCTTCCTCGATCAGCCAGCTGCGATCCGCTGCACCTCCGCCGCCAAGTTGCGACGATACCCTGCCCTGCGAATCTGCGACGTTCCAGAACCGGAGGTCTGCAGCTTCTGCTTGCCCGTACCCTCCGCCACATTTAATCATTCGGTCCTGGCGCGGTTCATCTCTGGAGGTCCCTCACACGGTCGATCATCAGCCCCGCACCAACTGACCACGCATCCATACGCACGTTCACCAAGGGCGTCGCAGCTCACTTGCGGGCAATCAACAGTGCAGCTCTTTAGAAGCCACAAAAAATGGGTATCATATTTTCTGTCTATTTTTAGTATTGAGTGTGTACCTTCGATGACTCGTGACTTTGATTATCTTTGGTGGTTGTGTCTAAAGTTCTAAACCACAGAAAACGGCACGTGACCACGGAGAAGAGTGTGAGCGCAACTCAAGCCGGCCAGTTCTCTATCGGCGGTTTTCGGGTGGATAGAAAACAAATTTCGAGCCGCAAATTTTGTTCTGGGTTTTTGGGTTCTCATGTGTCATGTAGAAATAAAAACCCTGGACACCATAAATGCCCTGTCAGTGTCCCTTTAAACCAACTATCCCTCCAGATGACTCTGGTACGATGTTCATCGAAGCAGGCAGGGGTTGGGCATCCAGAATCGCTGCAGGTTGGTTCTGCAGCGCGGGCTTTCGCTCCACGTGGAATTTGTGAAGTTACACGCACTAATAGAAGCACTGGATAGGGTGCCTTTCCGTGGGTGATGACATCTCGCCATTTTGTTCCGAACGCTTATTTTTTATTTTATTTATTTTTTGTTCTGAAGCGCGTCCCTGCACGCCCTCGTGGTGCTATCGATGCTATGGCGACATTTTGTTTTCGACGATTTCTTTGTATTTTTGCCGTGAGTGTGTGCTGTCCGCATCGGGTACAAAGGGTGGCACCACCCAGGCACCACCACAAACAGAAGGACATTGAGGCACCCTAGCACTCGATAGCGCTAATATTGGGGAGGAGATCGAATCCAGTCACGTCTATAGCGGTAAGCTTCAGCTGTGGGGACAACAAACTGAATTTTCTTGTTCATTTTTGACCAGAGAAATCGAAGATGACGATTCGAAGGCCGCTCCTCGTGCGACCAAGGCACTGGTCAAAGCGACGCGCTCGTGCCAAGACCGCGCTAGGCAAAGTTCAATTTCTTTGTTATGCTGTGGGGACCAACGTTGTTGAGGACATGGATGGATGGATGGATGAATCCGGCTGAGCCCTTTGGATCGGGCGGTAGCTTTCGCCACCTAGCCATTAATGTGAAATCT